ATAAATGACCAATTTAGAGAGCCTGTTCCGGGAAGAGGACTAAAAAGAAAAATTTTTTTTTGTCTATTTCGGTTATTTTTTCTAAGGTTTACTGTGCATAAAAACAAAATTTGGTATTATTCTCATTGTCAGTATCATGAAATAGAGAACCTCCTCTACTTCATATTGCGAAGCAACTTTCTTTTCTTTCAAAATGACTTTGGGGTGAGTCTTTTTCGAATAGGTTCCCATAAACCAAAAGTGTGCCAGGCCATAAATCGGTCAAAAGTCATTTTTTCAAGGAAAAGAATATCACCTCACAATAGGAAATTGAGGGTCCCCTATCGAATGGTACCAAGAAAAATATCAAATTTTTATATACAATAGACTGTGTTCCCTTGTCTAAAATTTATTTTAGAAAATTATTTAAAAAATTATTCCCAAAATTTTCCCAAAATTTTTTTTTCAAAAAAATTTTAAAAATAAAAAACCAACATAATAGAACAAAGAAAAAATTCTGTCGAAAAATGCCAAATTCTTCTCCAAGAGAGAACCACTCTCCAATCATCTGCCCCACAATCTACTAGATCCAACTTTAAAAAAATTTAAAATTTCCTTAAATTAAAATAAAAAAACCTGTATTTCATTATAATGATAATGAATAATTTCACATAAAAGTGCTATTGTTGAAAATAAAAGTAATGTTCTTATAAGTAAAGAAGCTACATGATCCTGTAAAAATAGAAAAAAATCGTTTAAAAATTTTAAATAAAAAATTTTTAAAAATTTTTGTAAAGGCTAGCTTAAATTAAAAAAGGTACATTTGGAATACACCCAGATGCACCGCGAGCCCAATCGAACTTGAGAACGAATCGAATCCGTGGCGCTCTGGCATGGTTCGATGCGGCTCGACCTGCTGAATCTAACCATACCAGGGCGCCACGGATTCGACAATTTTGAACAAAGTTAAAGCTCGGCGGTACATTGGGCTCGCGGAACACTGGCCTGCTCCCGTTCATTTGAGTTGGTAAAAATTTCAAAAAAAATTTTCGTGTCTTTATACAATTCCTTAGAAAATTCATAAAATATTTTGAGAATATTTCTTGGTGTTCTAATTATCTTTAAAAGTAAAAAAAATTTTTTTAACCTTGTGAATACCAAAAGCATTTTGACCACATAATTCTGTATCCACAATCATTAAAAGAATACCAAGCATTGCTAGAATAAGGCATCTATCAGATATATGAACACGATCTGCAAGTCTCTAAAATTAAAGAAATTTTTACTTTAAAAATTAAAAAAAAATTTGAAACTTGAGAACGAATTTTGTAGACCATTTTAACTGCTGAACCATCATATCTAGAAAAATAGTTAATTATAGTTAATTGCTCTCATGTAACAGGGAAGGATTACCCTAAATCTACGGAAACTTTTTTCGACCCAAACCCGAAATCTGATCGCTTTCCTTAATACGACTGAACAATTCGCTCCTGAGATAAATGTTATTTTGGCGATATTTGCCCCACATTGTCACGTCCTCTTCTATTAAAACGTCGGTTTAATTATCTTTCAAAGGGGGCCATTATATCGAGATTCGTCTGTCTAGCAAGGACGTAGCCAGAGGAGCTTCTGGGGCTATATCCCCCCTGAAATCGACCTCCCTTGCTGCCTAGTATTATGATAATTCTTTTACTAAAATCTCTCTAAAAAAATTTCAAAAAATCTAACCTGCTTCCATTTCTTTTTAAACAAGCCCCAGATTGTGCTATTCTATTATTAATATGATTTGAAAAAGGTTGTTGATTATATCCACTATTAATTAATAATATATTATTATTTCCTCCACCCCCATTTTCTACAACATTTTTATCAATTGAAGAATTTTGTGAATCAATTAAAATTATTGTTGAAGGGGAAATATTTAACTCATTTTTTAATGGTAGAATTGTTGCTGGAATTGTTGTTGTTGTTTCTCCAGCATCTTCTACTTTAATTAATGGATGTTGTATATTTGTTGTTGTACGACCTGTTCCTGTTTCTGAAAAATTTTTTTTCTTAAATTTAAAAATTTCTCGAAAATTTTCCTTCAAAATTTTAAAAATTTTAAAAATTAAAAAAAATTTCTTAGCTTCAGAAAATTTATTTTTTTTAGAATTTTTTTTCGAATTAAAAAATCTAAAATTCTCCTAAAATTACAAAAAAAAATTTTTTCAGGTTATAAAATCTTTTAAAAAAATTTCACGAATTTTTTTTTGAATTTTTATAAATTCTCGAAAATTTTTAAAATTTCATAAAAATTTCAAAAATTCCCAAAAACCAAAAATAAAATAAATTTTTTTCTTACGATTAGAATCAAAAGACTCGTAGCTGCAATCAATTTGTGTATAAGCTGGAGGCATTTGGCCAAGCTTTTTCCGGCTAAGTAAAGAACGAAATTGTTGCCTGGACCCATTTAAACGGAGAAAGTCTGCGCTGACCTAAAAATAAATTATTAAAAATATTTATTTTAATTTTTTAAAATTTTTCCCCCTTAAACCTAGAGAAAAATTTAAATTTTGCCCAAAAGATGTTCACAAACTTTAAAAAATAAAATTTTAAAAATTTGGGATATTTTGTCATCCCTCAACTTCAAAAAAAATTTTTTTCGAATAAAAAAATTTTTTTAATGCCAGCAATAAATCCCCCCCCCCCTTTCTCTCTCTCTCGCCTCATGTATTGAAGAAGCGCGACGTTCGCGTGATTGTAAGTCCATCAATCAGAGAAGAGGAGGTTTTTTGTTGTATTTAATTAATTTAATATTTAAAAATAATTAAAAACAATATTTCTTTTATTTTTTAATAATTCATAAAAAATTCAAAATTTTTGAAGATTTAAATTTAAAAAAATATGAAGGAAATAAATAAAAAAAAAACTTTTTTTTGCATACAAACATGTGTGTGTATGGAAATAATAAAAATAAGTAAAGCATAACGGAACATAAAATCATGAGAGAAAAAGAAGAGTAAAATTAGATTTTGAAAAAAAATTAAATTTGTAAAATATAAACATAAATATTCTTTTGTTTTTTTTTTCAAAGTCTCTCTAAGTATTCCAACTTAGATAAAAAAATTTATAAACAAATTCGAAAAAACGCCTCTCATTCGAAACCGAATTCTGAGAGATAAAATAAGAGAAACAAGTTTTAATGAGGAGCAGGGAGTCACCCAAAATAAGATACTCTTAAAAATTTTCTCAATCCGGCCTATCCCTGATGGGTAAGAGGCGTACTATCCATCTGATGTGAGCAGAAATTGATAAAAAGGAATAAATAGAGAGAGAGAGAGGGATGACCCCTCAAAAGTTATTTCACACCTCAAAAATTTTGGAAATATTAGGAATCGAAATTCGAAAAAAGCTCCGATAGGCCTTCCCCCTCTCTCCAGGTTTAAAGAAATTAAAAAGAGCCTAAAATGAGGGTTTCAAAAATCATTTTTTCTGTAATTTTAAGTCAGAAAATTAATTTTAGAATTTTTTTTTCAAAAAAAATTTCTTATTAAAAAGTAAAAACAAAAGAAAGAACGAAAAATGAATACTGACAGACTAAATTTTTACAAAAAAAAACAAAAATAATTTAGAAAGGATTCCCCCTTTCTTTTAAAAACTAAAAGCAAAATTAAGAAAAAAAGGCACAAAAAAATGTGACATAAAAACACGTTACTTTTACACTAGGGAATGGCTAAAAAAACAAATATTGAGTAAAATAATAATAAATATATGCTAAAAATCCCCTTAAAAAAGAGTTCACTTTCCCCGCTCTCTCAATCTCGAATACTCCCCCTCCCCTCTCTCCCCTCTTAAAAATTGATGGATAGCTTACTTAAAATAGAGGAAAGTATCATTTAAAGAATGAGAAAAAATATATAATTAAATCTATGAGAAAAAAAGACAAATTTAGATAGCTTAAATTAATTTTTTGGTAAGTGATTTTCTAGGAAATTTCTAAGAAAAAGAAAATATAACGACTACAATTTGATTTTATTTTAATAAGTTGAATCTCGATATAAAGTACTTGAATTTGGATGTGTCGGACCTATCCGAAACGAAGAATTTTTCGGTTCGGTTTCTGATATTGAAGAACAGACCTGTGCATGGATATGGTTAAAATAATATCAAGATTCCTGCGGATAACCGTATATGGAAACCAAAATCCGTGTCCATACACAGGTCTGCTTAAAAATCGCCAGCCCTATAAATTGAGGAAAGAAAAAGTTATACGAGTTAGTTAAGAGAAAAAACCAGGGATCGGTGAAAAGGTTTCGGTAATTTTTAGGAGGTTTGGAAAATCAAGAGAATTAAAACATCAAAGTTCGACTATACAATTTGAAAAATTGACAAATTAGTCCAAAATAAATTAATTTCGTCCCTAACTTATTGTGTCTCTTTTAATGGCTTCCCTAGTTAGATAAAAAAAATTAATTACAAATTAGACAAAAAATAACTAGACATAAAATAATTTAAAATATAAATTGTCTAATTCAGAAAAAAAATTTTTTTTAAAGAAAAATTAAATAAATTTTTATGGCAACGTGAGAAAGAATCCTGTATAAATATTATAAAATAATCTTTTTAAAAAAAAGTTAAGAGAAAAAAGGAAGCGAAACAAGGGGTAAAGCGCGCCTATTTTTTATTTACATAAAATTAATTTTTATTTTATTCCCAATCTCATTAATATATACACTGGAAATATAATATTATTAAAGTTTGAATATTTAAATAATTTTAAAAATAATAAACAGAAAAAATTTGTACTTATTGTTAAAGTATTGCATGTTTTTTAAATGAAAAAAAAATTTAAAAAAAATAAAAAAATGTTTGTTCACCCCAATAACCTTATTGGAACGACTTTTATATGGTTTGGATTTTTTACATATAAGGACCTTACCTTGGGGCTGAAAAATTGTATCGTATAATGAATGTTCTATAAAGTAGTGAGGGTTGCTAAGGCAGCTTTTCCAGGCCGTCTTACCGACTAAATAAATCTCCCATTTTTGGGAATCGGGAATTTATACGGCAAGATTCCTGCTACTAAACAAAAAAAGAGTCCAAGAGGCAAGCGTGAAAAATGCAACGCAATGCGCTCACTCCTGTCCCCAACCAACGGCCAACCAAATTTTCAAGAACGTAGCTTAAATTGAGTTCATATCTACCTTGAAGCGGATCCGACCGTATAATTAAAATTATTTTTCCCAACAATTTTCAAAAATAAGACTTAAAATTTCTTATTAAAAAAATTTTTAAACTTGCCTTAATGAGCCCATTAGAATCCGAAAAGTTGACACCTGCAGCTCCCTCTCTTTCCCCAAAATCAAAGCTTTTCCCACCCATAGGAGAGACAACTGAAGGTTTTGGAGTTCTGTAGTCTTCGTGTTCTACTGATGGAGCTGAAGCTACTGTAGGGCCCTGAAAATTACAAAAATCAATTTTTAAAAATTCTAAAGGTGACATTAGATCCCATCGGAGAAATTCAAAAAATTTTTTTAATTTTACCAAAGATCCTCGGCATCTGAAAGTTTTTCGTCTATCCAACGTTTGTTGTAAAGCACTAGCACTGTCCAAAGTATGCCGAACTAATACAGCTGCTGCTGATGAGTGTTGAGGGAATGAAGGAATATTTGATTGTTGTTGTTGATTTTGTTGATTTTTCTGTAGTTGAGTATTCGAAGTATTTTTTGAAGATGATGGAGAAAATGGGGAAGAATTTGTTAAATTCATACCTGTATAATTCCTTATTAAAGGAGGATTATTAGAGTAACGAAATTAAATTAATAAAGAGTATGACCGGCCTGGACCGGTCTCAGGCCGGATTTGCCGGAGTCCGGGTCCCAAATCCGGATTTTCTCCCGATTTTTTCCGGACCAGATTAGTTCAGAAAAATCCGGCCGGATCCGGTCCGGCATGAACGAGAAGTCCAAAATCCGGTTTCCGGGCCCGAAAAAATGAGTTTGCCGGACACTAATAAAGAGGGCTATTAAAGTCAAGGAAAGTTGAACGATAAAAGGACTAAAAGAATATAAAAAATAATAAGGAGAACAATATTTAAGCTTTGATTATTATCGAAAAAATAAGTGATTATGAGGAACAATTTAGAGCTTAAAGAGAACAATCGGAGTCAAGAGCCTTAAGGGTAAGCTACATAAAATATGGGACTTTAAAAAATTCTAAAATAGAATTATTCGATTTTTTGTCACCAAATTTAAACAAAAATAATTTAAAATAAAAATAATTCTAAGAAAAAATATTTTTTTTTCTTTCCCAAAACATACTAATTATTACTAGCGTAAAATAAAGGCTTTTTTAAAAGACAGAAAATAATTAAAATACTATTCTTATAAAATCGACTGAAAAAAAAATTTTTTTTATAAAAAAAGGAAGGCAACAATTTTTAATGAAATGAAGCAAATAAATTTAATGAGAGAAAAGGATGATAGTAGAGGGTTTGAAAAATTAAAAAAAAATTTGGTTAATTAATTAATATTTTTGGGCAAAAAAAATTTTTTTCAAGGGAGGATAGGCTACAAAAGGATATCTATTTATAAAGAGGATAAAGACAGCTACCGGAGATGTCACGGATTATCCGAAACCCGATACCAGAAACCTGGACTTTTTGAAACACCGAAACCCCGGACATATTGCGACCAGAGATATTTTTTGATAACTGACCAAACTTTTTTCTGTACTTATCGGTTATACACCCACAAATTCAGTTATAATAATAAGATTTATTTGAATTGGATCAAACACCAAAAAGTTAAGCCGATCAAATTCGGCTGACACTCAGTTGTGGGCCGATAAGCACCTTTTTTCCTAAACCCGTGATATCCCTAACAGCTACTCTCAAAATTTTGTTTTAAAAAATAAGAAAAAAATGAACTCAAAAATTAAATATTCAAAAATTAAAAAAAAAGTCTCAAGTTAAAATTTTAAAGAAATTTTTCTCACAAAGATTTTTTTAGGTAAAAAAGAGTTGAAGCAACATATGAAAAATTTAAATATGTACAACAAGCAATCAAAAGGAAACGAAGAAAAAAAATTTTTTGGGGGAAGATAGGCCCCTTGAGAGATTAAAAACTATAAAAAACGAGGAAATGTTAGAGCACAAAAAAAATGCCAAAAAATAATTTAAAATAAAAAAAGGGCCATATTTAAAAAAGGGATTTTTTTGTGTTTTCCATTTTTGGAAATTTTGGAGGGGGAAACTTTTAATGGGAGAAACATTTAAAAAAAGAGAAAATAAAGTATTTTAAGAGTTTTTGGAAAAGTTTGGAAGTTAAAGAATAATACAAAAGAAAAGTTAAGTCTGTAAAAATGACGAGAATTTTTTGCATAAATATATAATGACGATTGTGTGAAGATAAAAAAGGTTTTTTAAAAAAAGGTTTTTTGAAAAAGGTTAAGAAATGACAAATTTATGTAATATTTTTGTTTGAGGTAGAGAAAAAGAAATAGTGGGGTAAATGAAGAGGGAGCAGAGGGAAAGCTTTAAATTCTGATAATTATTATTATCAGAATTCTGATTTTTGATTAGGTTAGAGAAAAAGAAATAGTGGGGTAAATGAAGAGGGAACTTAGAAAAGTTTTAAATTCTGGTAAATCAGAATTCTGATTTTTATTTGACAGAGAAAGAGAGAATAGTGGGATAAATGAAGAGAGAACAGAGAAAGCTTTAAATTCTGATAATTATAATTCTGGTTTTTATTGAAGTTAGAAAAAAAGAAAATAGTGGGGTAAATGAAGAGAACTAGAGAAAAAATTCTAAATTCTGATAATTATTTATTTCAGAATTCTGATTTTAATAGGAACATTTTTGTATTTTTTATTATTCTGATTTTTGTATTTTCCAAAGTTGTGTTTTCTGAAATTAAATTACCCTATAAAAACCAGAATTTCTAGAGTGACTAATATTTCTGAAAAGAAAACACAGAAAAAATACATTCTGAAAATAATATTCTTTTCATTATAAAATACATTTCTGGCCAAGGATTATGAACAATTAAATAATATTAAATTTGTATTGTGTTCTGATAAATATATTTAAATTGCAAGAAGGGAATTCTTTTATTATTCTATTTTTGGCCTTTTTGTTTAGAAAAAAAGGTTTCTTTTTTAACAAAAAAAGGTTTAAGCAACAGAAAATTTTATTAAACAAGAGGAGAATAGTAGATATAAATTATTTCTAAGGGATTTTTTTAATTAAAAAAATTTTTTTTAATTTTTAGCCCTCTAAAATACCGTAAAATGCTCTCTAATTAAAGCCCTGGGTTTATATTCTTCAATGGACCTTCTTGGGTGATTTTGTATATTAGATTGGGGTTCTATTAGAGACTCTCTCTCTATTAGAGAGCTCCTTTTTCAAAGGGCCTCCTTGGGGTTGGGGAGGGGGGCTTCTAATAGAGACTGCTCTCTAATTAGAGCCCTGGGCTCAGGGGTAAGGCGAGATGGAGGGCTTCAAATAGAGAGGCTGCTAATTAATTAAGCCATGGGCTTCTATTGTTTAATGGGCACCTTGCGTGATCTTTTAATAGATTAGGCTTCTGTTAGAGACTTTTTTCAAAGCGCCTCCTAGGGTAAGGCGAGAGGGGGCTTCTAATAAAGCTGGGCTTTAATCAGAGGATTTACTGTATTTGTCTAAATAATTTTCAGCAAAATAAACATTTCTTTCCCAAGGTTTCATTAAATTAAAAAATGATATATTTATTTACCTTCTAACTTTCCCATGAGAAAAAGCCAAAAAAATATTTTTCTTTTTTAAATTACCCTAGAAAAATATTTTTTTTCCTGAATGTTTTTCCTATTTTTAAGGCGTTAAATTGGCTTTTTAACAAACATAAACATGGATAGGAATAAAAAAATAAAAATATAGAAAAGTGTGTAAAGCCAATGCTGCGCATTTTTTTTCATTTCTTGGTCCGCAGGGGAATTAAAAATAACAAAGAAGAAAAAAAGAAAATTGCAAAAATGAAGAATGAAATGAAGAAGAATGTTAAGACTGTTCCTTTTTTAATAAAGTTATTGTTTTTAAAAATCCAGAAATATATTCTATCCCACCCTTAGGAAAATGACACCATGGAAAGAGAGAAGCAAAGTGATTTTAAGACTTTAAAAATCTTATGGGATCGAATCGAGACGAAGAAGATGGATTAGAACCATCAAGGAATGAGCCCAGACCAAAACAAGCCATTCAACAATGACCGGACACAACACATTTTATCCCCCTTGGAAAGGGATGCTTTGGAAAGGAATTTTTGGATCAAACCTTATAAATAGAGATCGGACCAAGACAATAACTGAACTAAAAAGTTCGGTTATCGAGATCATTATTCTCCAAGACACCGAGCCCGACGACCCTCCCAGTCTCACTTATAGACGGACAGGTGCAATAGATGGGCAGGTGTTCTTCTGGATTTATATGTAAAATAAAAATAATTAAATTTTAAAAATTATGGAGGGATATTAAATTCTATATGGCTTCTTATAAGAAGATTGAAAAGAGGAAAATGGAATGAAAAAAAATTAAAAAATGAGGAAGGAAGCACTGCAAAAATATATAGAAAAGAATATTTCCGGTGTTCACTTAAATGAGCATTTTAAAAATATAACATGGCTATTATTTTTTTGATAAAAAAATAAGGGGTACCAGTTATCTCTGCAAAAATTATTTTTGAATCAAATTGCAAAAAATAATTCAGAAATAGAAAAAAATATACGAAGACTAATAAAGAATAAAAAAAATAAATTAAGATCCAATAACTTTAAACAAAAGCTCCGGAGCTAACTCCCCAAGAGATGCTAAAGCACTGCTCAGTACCCAAGTAAACATTTTTAAATGGTGGTACCCTGTACAAATCTTCAGCGGAAAAATTATTTCTGGGGGTTCCAGTGTAGTGGGTAGGTAACAGCAAATACCGGTCCACAAGCATAGGCTCTCCCCGGATACTTTTCTTCTAGACCATGGTCAATTATAACACAAGCTTCAGGCCCTACCAATCCCCAGGCATTGCTCTCCCGTATATCTTTCTCCCAACTATTTTCATCACCTAAAAATACTAAATCTAGCAAATTTCTCTTAATTCGTCATATAAAAAAAGATATAAACAAATTCAAGAAAGGAGGAATTATTCTTTCCTTATTAAAAACAAAATCCCCTCTCCTATTTAATGACATCATTTACGACTTTACTTTTCCCTTGTTTTCCAAAAAAAAAGTTTTTGTTGTCTGGGCACCGTTTATTCACTAAAAATATGCAAAAGCGGTGCAATCCTCTTTAATAAAAGATGAAAAAAGAAGATTGGAAAAAAAATAATTTTTTGAGGGTTATTGAAGTAAAGGTATTGAAGTATAATGAATTTTGAAAAAAAAATTGTGAATGACGATTTTTGTTTTTTTGCTTATTAAATTTTGAATAAAACAAGAAAAGATTAAAGATGGAAAAATAATTAGAGTTTTGCCCCCTATGAGAGTGAAATAAGCAACATTTTTAGCTAACATAATTAAATGAGGACAGAAGACTTTTGAGTTTCCATCTTAATAATACATTTTTATGTATTAAATTAAAATTCAGCATTTCATCCCCAGCCTAAGGGACTACCTCATGAATAATAAGGGAGTGGATTCCTTCTATTTATTTTTGAGATCTTTGAGAATGAGAAGGATGATTCCAATTTGATTCAAACTACCAGATTCCAATGAGAAGGTAGGGAGGTAATCACGCCTTG